ACATTATTTTGTGTATTTGGTGTGATGAAATGTGTTTATGCGGTTTAAGGTTCAAAAAGCACATTATTTTCCACATACTGTACATTATTGTTTCTCCTCTATGCCCCGCCTTTCTGAAACGCGTCGATTTTTACAAAGCTCATCGGTCTGAAAAGTGAGGTGTGCTGTGATTGGCCAGCTATCCAGTGCGTTGTGATTGGCCGAATACCTCAAGCGTGTGACGGAAATGTTACGCCCCTTACCATATTGTGATGCCGTGTCAGGCCGGAGCGATGATTCAAAAACATGAAAACCCATTATAAACGAGGCATTCGTTGCATCCAGTGGGGACATAATTATGGATTATAATGACTTATACTGTCTTTTTACGCATTGCGTTGCATCGCACCGCGTAAACATAAAACCATGTCTGCAAATCATACGACATCATACTGCAACACCCGCTGACTGCAATGATAGAGCTTGGAATAGCCAGGACAATTTTTAATATAACTCCGACTGTATTCGTCTGAAAGAAGAAAGTCATATACACCTAGGATGCTTCGAGGGTGAGTAAAACACAAGGCAATTTAATATTTAACTCTTAATGATTGAACTCTCTTTGCTGTAGCCTGGCTGTTCCAAGCCGCTGTTTGCAGAAGTGGCTCTAAACCTGAGGCTGAAACGACCTCCATTAAGCCCCTACATTGTGCACATGCTGGAATGGTTCGAAGAGGACGATCGGTACATCCTGATCCTGGAGTATCCACAGCCCTGCAAAGACTTGCTCAAATTCATGGTTAACAACATGCAGCTACTGGATGAATCACAGACACGTAGCCTGATGTACCAAGCAGTGCTGGGAGCCAAGCACGGTCTTGACCGAGGCGTCTTCCACCGTGACATTAAGTTAAATAACTTTCTGATCAACACAAAGACGAACCAAGTCAAACTGATAGACTTTGGCTGCAGTGACCTCGTCAAAAGTTCAGGCTACTTGGGTGGTTTTACAGGTGAGCTGGCATTTTGTGTTACTGTTGCACTAAGTCCTAATGAGATGTCAGTCTTCTGTGTAGTGATTTAATACTAAGAAAGAATAGATGTGTATAAATGCACATTTGGACAATTTCTGGTGACTTTTATAAGCAAAATTTGTGCTTAATCTGAATATCTCGTGCTTTCATGAACAGGAGGAGTCTGCCCACCTGAGCACTACAGGGACTCAAAATACGAGGCAGGGCCAACAACTGTCTGGTCCCTGGGCATAATGATGTACACAATGGTGTGCAGATGTCAGCCCTTTAACAGTCTAGAAGACATGATGCATGGCAGTCTGAGTTTTAATGCCAGAATATCCTCAGGTGAGAGAGAACAATTAACTACCAATAACACAATGACAATAATATTGTTAAACACGCAAAGAATAATACGTGCTACATATTTCAGAAGCTATTTTCATACTTGACAACATTACCGTGTCACATGGACATAAATAACATACATGACTAACCAGTGCTCTTGTAAAAACTTGTACAGAATTGCAGGATTTGATAAGCCGCTGCCTGGCTTATCACCCAACCGAGAGAGCAACTATAGAGGAGATCCTACAGCATACATGGTTGCAGTAGGGACAAATGTCAGGAGTAGCTCAGGATCAGGTAGTAACAGGTAGGATCAGATAAGTTAGGAAGGAAGGCAGATGATGACAGAAATCCCTCTTGTGAAAGTCCAAGCAGTGCTGTCATGAGCTTCCACTTTACATTTTATTAATTCAGCAGATGCTCCAAATCGGCCCCCGTGAGGAAAAGCTGCACAAACCATTCAGCAGAGAGTCTTAGTTAAAAAAAAGCAGCAGACTTGGTGGACAAAAAGTAGTGCAAAAAAAAAAATACAGAAAATTTAGAAGAGCTAATCTACTGCACAAAAAGAAGAAGCAAATTTAGTTAAAAAAAAAAGTTACTGTAAAAAATGAGGAGCAAATTTAGTGCACAAAAGAGAGGAGAACACTTGTATAAAAAGCAGGAGCAAATATAATGTATAAAAAAAGCATATTTTGTGTATCAAAGCTGGAGAATATTTAGTAAATTTAGTGAAAAAAAAAACAGGAAGTCTAAAGTAATCATGCTGTGAGATCACAAAGACCATTCCCGTCAGCTCCTCAAACTGATCCTCATTAACATATTCAAACTATTTGGGTGGGTGGAGGGAAAAATTATTTAATAAAAAATAAAATTTTTATTTTGTATAACTCGTCAGTTACTCACTGACACACGCACACACACTTTCTGAATGGGGACTTTGCATAAACTTCTATTGTTATTATAAAGAGCTAGTTATAAATACTATAACTTAACCCTAACATGTTTTACAATAAAAATAAAAAAGAGTTCTGAGTCATTTTTTTAAAATACCGTTTTTACAAACAAGGATGTCCCCAAAAGGAGGTTTTGTCAGATTTAGCTCAATTCTGGATATAAATTAGTGCCCTAAAATAAGGCAAGGCAAGGCAAGTTTATTTATATAGCACATTTCATACACAATGGTAATTCAAAGTGCTTTACATAAAAGAAAAGAAAATAATAATAATAAAAAAATAATCACAACAATAAAACAAGGAATTTAAAAACTTTGAAAATGATTTAAAAATTGAGCTGTCTTCTAGCCATGTTTCGTTTAGAAACATAAAATCCAGGTTGTTTGTGGTTATTATTAAGGTTAAAGCTGCAGTCCGTAACTTTTTTTGGTTAAAGATTATCCGAAATCAACATTCGAGCAAGTACATAACCAGCCAGTGTTCAAAACTATCGCCTTACTTTAGCCCGATTCAC